AGAATCTGCCTGCCAATGCAGGAGACTCGGGTTGGATCCCTGGGTTGTGAAGATCCCCTGGAGGAAGAAATGGCAACCTGCTCCAGTATTCTTGCCTGGTGGGCTACAGTCCCTGGGGGTCGCAAAGAGTCAGACACAACTGAGTGACTAACACATCCTCCACCCCACACACATAACTAGAAAGAAAAAAAATCATCTACCAACCCTACCCTTCTATCAAATCCACTGTTTTTATTTTCTCACGTTCCATTTCAGTCCTTATCCATATTCATATCATGATTAAATAGTTTTAAATATAAGGTAGATTGAATTTTATATTAGAGTAGGGCTTTTCAAAGAAAATGATCAGAACTAGGAATTTTTTTTTTACACAAAGCCTAAAATCCTTGAAAGTCAAATTCGATTAAGAGCTCTAGACTGAAGGGCTTCAAAAATTTCTCACTGTCAAAGAGTGGTTACGCTTTAGAGACCTAGGAGAGGATTCATTTCAGAAAGGAAGAAATTGAACCTACAAAGAGTGGGATGTGAAAGGTAAAAAAAGGAAGGAGGGACTGGGAAATTAAAATTCAACAAAGCTCGGATTGTATAAACCAGAACTTGGCCAACTATGGCCTGGGGCCAAAAGCAGCCCACTGCCTACTTTTGTACCTATAGTTTTATAGAACCACAGTTACTCTCATTCTTTTACCTACTGTCTGTGGCCACTTTCATACTATAGCAGAACTGAGTTGTGACAAGGACTGAAAATATTTACTATCTCATCTTTACAGAACATGCTTGCTAACATCAAATCAATGATTAATTATGTTAGTGAGTGATTTTGCTACAAACAGTTATATTAATGATGAATTTTAGGGTGATGTGATTAAAAAGAGGGTGGGGCTATAATACTAGAAAACAAAAACATGGAAGATAGGAGAGGTGATATTGGAGTTATTCTATCATCTTTGTATTGCTTGGAAAGAGTTAGGAATAATGCCAGGCATGTATGTTAAAAATATAAGGATAAAACTTTTCATATACAACACAGCACGCATAGATTTCATATTGAAAGTTTAAAATAATTTCAAGTGACCCTTTAGGTTGATGATATAATAATTTGTCTCCCTCCCACCCTGTTAGCAACCATCAGGAGTCACTTAGCTGGCAGGTAGAGCTGGTGGGTTGGCAACCACTTTCTCTGCAAGTGGCATGATTGTTCCCTAGTCAACCTCACATAATTCTAAGTGATAAAAACTTGTGTGGGTAAAAATAGCCCCCACAAGAAAGTCAAGTGTTGGTGACACATGTAGAAAATTTCTCCAAAATTTATTATTCTTAGCCATGAAACAGTAGTTTTAGGGGGCAAAATGTCTGTAATTTTAATATTTGTGAATTTTGAAAACTTAAAAAGTATATGTCCTTTATAAATGCAAACAAACTGCTTTATGTAACTGCAAAAAGTTACCCAATTGATTCAACAGTCTTTGCTTGTACAGAAATATACTAAAGCCAAAATTATGTGAATCAGTATTTGAACATTGTTATATTTATTGAAAATTATTGTTGTTACATTTAAATCATTTAGCATAAAGTAGATAAAAGCTAATTAACCAAGTCTTACATTTCCCAACCAGTGATATTAAGCTTTTATAAATAACCTAGTGTCATAAATTGGAATTTAATCCAAGGGAAATATTTGAGGCAACTTAATATAATTTAACTTACGGAAATCATAATTGCATTGTGAATCATTCTGGAACTTCAGGTTTATATTTTTTTATACACAATAAAACTTAGTAAAATAAACTGTTAACCTTCATCTAATAGATATTTCTGAGTCTTTTAATGTACATTGTTCATTATTTTGTCCACAGGATTTCTCTATTTTTTACGTTAAGTCAGTTATATATCTTTCGGAAGGTTAAGGATTCTATATTTTTTGTTGTTGGTATAATAATCCATCTGATGCAGACATTTTTAGAACTTCACAATATATAGCTCCACTGAACGGTGAGCTCCTCCAGGGAAAGAAATATTTCTTATTCATCTTTTTACCCTCATGATCCGACACATAGTGGGCACTTATTAAATGTTTATTAAATGTATCAGCTGGCAACATCTCATAACCCTTAATTCTTTCAGAACAAATTGTGGTTCTCTTCACAGGGTCCATGTGTCTTCCTAGTCCTACTCTATTGTAAATATTTATCTCTTTTCTCCATTTTTTCCACGTACATCTCAATTACAAATTTTAAAAAAAATCATCTATGTGCTCCCAGTTGCTAGCACTGGTACCAGTTTCTGACACAGAGTAGTAGATGCTTAGGAAAACATTTTTGAACTGAATGGATCTCTGGAAGTCTTCAAAATGGTGGGTTTCAAATGGAGAGAAGATGGAAGAATTCATCCTTTGTGATATTATCCCTCCCCTTTGATTCTTCTCAATATACATGGGCTCCTTGATAGTAGGGTATAAGGCCTTGCCCTCCCTCTTTCCCTGGACCTACTACCTATATGCTCAGACACTGAACTGAATTGAACTCCCATCTCTAATCTTAGGTTTGACTTCATTATAGATTAACCTAGCCCAAATATTACAGTCAAATAGCTTCCTGGCTTGATTCAATAAATGCAATCAAATTCAAATCTTGAATGTCTGTAATAAATCTTAGAGTTTAAAGTGCCAGATTAGACTATTTTGCCTTAATTAGTTTAGCTTTCTTTGATTTGAACACGGCCCATTATTTTAAATTAAATAAGCAATTCAAAGCCTGTGGACAATAAATTAGACAAATGTAAATGTCAGGAACTGCAATCCCCTGGCTATATTTTACAGACAGTAAATATGTAAGACATCAGAACCAAATATCCCTTTTGATGATGATAATGAGATGTTCTTGATTGAGACTAAAACTGAGCCTTATTGTTTGTTTCACCAGAAACAAAGTGTCTAGTATGGGATGGTAAAGAGATTCTTAAACCATTGTCACAGACTGTCTCTTGAAAAATAGCATAACATGCAAACAATTTGGTCATAATTTCTAAAGCTGTTCTTGGAATAGGGCAACTTTCACACACAGAAATAAGAAAATTTGTTGCCGGGATGTTTCTAGTGTCTGTGGATTTAAAAGATAAGTCTCAGTTTTAGTCTCAAAAAAGCTAAGCTAATTAAGGCAAAATAGTTCTTTTTGCTGGATTTACCATTCAGCTCTGTGAAACAACCTCTCAACTGACTCAAATAACTCAGGTTTTGCTGTTATTGTCCACTACATTGACCATTTATCCAAATCACTAGTTGTGGAGGTTTTCTGTAGAAGAGGTTAAGTTCTGGCAAACTCTAGTGGGTGGAGGAAAGCAATGTTGTTAGCTCTGTAATGAAATAATGCCATTTGCAGCTATGTGGATGGACCTAGAGATTATCATACTAAATGAAGTAGGTCAGACAAAGACAAATACCATATGATATCACTTATATGTGGAATCTAAAATATGATACAAGTGAACTTATGTACAAAATAGAAATAGACCCACAGACATAGAAAACAAATTTATGATAACCAGAAGGGAAAGAGAGGAGGAAGAATAAATTAGGAATTTGGGATTAACATATACATACTACTCTATAGAAAATAGATAAACAACAAGGTCCTACTCTATAGCCCAGGGAACTATATTTAATATAATAACATATAATGGAAAAGAATATGAAAATGAATATATATGTGTAATTGAATCACTTGGAGGTACATCAGAAACTAACATGACATTGCAAATCAACTATACTTCAATTTTAAAAAATACCATTCAGGGTTAAGACAGCAAAATCTCATTGTTCAAAAGTTCAAGCTCATTTGAGGTCTTCCATGGGCAAGTACATATACAAGCTTTACTTTACTATATAGATAATTGTTGCCACTAGCTCTCTGATTGTTGTAGAGATTCTTTTGCCTGGGCAGCAGGTGCTAGCCTGCAATACAGTCACCCATGTTCAAAGGGTTCTAGTTTTAAATGTAGGGGGAAAATGTAGCCACAGAGAAGTCAATTTATGCTGTGAGTCCCTGGCAATATTAACACTTAAAATAACAGCTATCTTCCCATCTGTGAATATTTTTTGCATAAGAATCCACTGTTGGTTTTCTCTTTCTTTCAAGAAAATAACCTGTGTTGAGAAAGGCACTGTGTCCAAGTGACAAAAACAGTTTCTAGGATGCATGGTCATCATAATTAAATAGTACATCTTGGACTTACTAGTGCACTATCAACCACTTAAAGCTGAAAATTGTTAACAAACCTACGTCCAGCTGAGATAGATATGTCTATCACAAATATGTCATATTTGTGAAATGTGTCATGAGTCTTGCCACGACTCTAATGCAATTACATTTTAAGCACCAACAACTCCATAGCTCTTTAGGGTCTCAAGGGTTACTCCCTTAAACACTAAACACATCTGACAGAAATATTCATATGAATGCTTCCATAACTAAGAGCTAGCACTGACTGGAACATGAGGATCTTGGGCGACAGTGAGGACAAGAATACCTCAGTGAATACAGGATGGTTATTAGAAAACCAGGAGCTTGTATGAAAAGACAGATAGGAAGAAACAAGAAAAGTTAGGGGCTTTATCAGCCAGGGTCCAAGCAGGAAGCAGATGGCACACTCTTCTTGGATAATGTGAGAAAGAATTAGTATAGGGACTATTTACAAAAGTGTGGGAGGGTTTAGGAAGAGCAACACAGAATTGTGAAATACCCCAGGGATAACAATAGGAGCTGTTACCAACCCTAGGTTTGAAGGGGTAAAGGACAGAATGATTATTGGTACCAAGAAGGCACACAGAAATAGCTCAGACATATTGTGGGACTGAATCGAGACCACTGCAATAAAACAAATATCGCCATAATGTGAGTCGTGAATTGTTTTTGGTTTCCCGGTGCGTGTAAAAGTTTGGTTTATGCCATATTGTAGCGATAGCATTACGTCTTTACGTCTAAAAAAAAAAAAATAGTACATACCTGTGTTAGGAAGTCAGGCGTGAGCAACGAGAGGTAGCTTAGCTGAAAAAGATTCAAGCTGGTCTCTAAAACCCACCTCTGACACCCCCCAGTGTGGCCCAGGAAAGCTCACAGATATGCTACAAAATAACCACAAGAGACTTTCCCACGTTTCCAACGCCAGCGCATGCGCGCTAGGCACACAGTGGATACAAACTAACCGCAGGGGCTTCTCCAGCTCCCACACATGTGCTCTTGATGCACAGCTGTGTCCTCAAAGGGTTCATAAATACTCTATACGCATGTACGTCTGATTATAACAGACTGAATTCTGGGAAAGACATGTGCAATAGAGCCTGTTGTTATGTAACTTACACCTATCAATCAAAACTGTCAGTCCACGCCCACCTAGATGGATATGTAACAGCCTTGTCTTGAAAACCCCTGTGCCTCATCATTCTGATGCTGATGCCAGTGCCACTTTTGGTCTGGCCTACTCTCCCTTGAGGTGTTCTTTCTGTTCTTTCCTTAATAAACTTGTTTTTGCCACAGGAAAGACCTCAGATTCTTCTTTGTGTTCTTACCAAGAGCCGAGGCCCGCAAGGGAGGGTCCCCTAAGACCCTCTCTATATCTGCTAACACCTGAATTAAAAATACTTACTTGCTTAAAAAATTGCTAACCATCATCTGAGTCTTCAGAGGGTTGTAATCTTTGTACTGGAAGAGGATCTTGCTTTGATATTGATGGCTGCTGACCAATCAGAGTGGTGGTTGCAGAAGTTTGGGGTGGCTGTGGCAATTTCTTAAAATAGGACAACAGTGAGGTTTGCTGTATTGATTGACTATTCCTTTCACAAAAGATTTCTCTGTAGTGTGCAACACTGTTTGATGGCATTTTACCCACAGTAGAACTTCTTTGAAAATCAGAGTCAATCTTCTCAAAACCTGCTGCTGCTTTATCAACTAAGTTTATGTAATATTTGAAATCCTTTGTTGTTATTCAACAAACTCTATAGCATCTTTATCAGGAGTAGTTACGATCTCAAGAAACCCCTTTCTTTGCTCATTCTTAAGAAGCAATTTCTCATCCTTTAAAGTTTTATCATGAGATTGCAGCAGCAATTCAGTCATATCTTCAGGCTCCACTTCTAATAGCTCTCTTGCTATTTCCACCACATCTGCATGACTCCTTCCACTAAAGTCTTGAACCCCACAGAGTCATCCATGTGGGTTGGAATCAACTTCAAACTCAAACTCATTTGGGCAGGAAGAGAAGGGGGTGACAGAGGATGAGATGGTTGGATGGTGTCATCGAATCAATGGACATGAGTTTGAGCAAGCTCTGGGAGATAGTGAAGGATGGGGAAGCCTGATGTGCTGCAGTCTATGGGATCACAAAGAGTCGGACATGACTTAGCAACTGAATAATAACAACTCTAGCTATGAAAGTCTTACATGACATCTTCTTTCAAAAGAAGGCTGTTTCATTTCATTGAAAATGTGTTGTTAAGTGTAGCCACCTTTGTTAGTTATCTTAACCAGATCTTCTGGATAACTTGCTACAGCTTCTACATCAGCCCTTGCTGCTTCATCTTGTACTTTTACGTTATGGAGAAAGCGTCTTTCGTTAAACCTCATAAACCAACCTCAGCTAGAGTTAAGCTTTTCTTCTATAGCTTCCTCACCTCTCTCAGCCTTCATAGAATTGGAGAGAGTTAGGACCTTGTTTTGAATCAGGCTTTGGCTTAAGGGAATGTTGTGACTGCTTTGATCTTCTATCTAGATCAGTAAAACCTTCTCCACATCAGCAATAAGGCTGCTTCACATTCTTATTCTTATTGTGTTTACTGGAGTAGCACTTTTAATTTCCTTCAAGAACTTCTTTGCATTCACAATTTGGCTAACTATTTGGCACAGACACCAAATTTTCAGCCTCTTGGCTTCTAATGTGCCCTTCTCACTAAGCTTAATCATTTCTAGGTTTTTGATCTAAAGTGAGAGACACGTGACTCGAGTTCACCATCTTATATGAGCATAATTAGTGTACTCAAAACAATGACAAAAGTAACATCAAAGATCACTGATCACAGATCACCATAACAATGCTGTTGGAAAAAATGATGATGACAGACTTGCTGGCTGCAGGGTTGCCTCACACCTTCACTTTGTAAAAAATGTAGTATCTGCAAAGCACAATAAAGTGAAGCATGATAAAATGAGGTGTGCCTGTAGTAATATGGAGAAGGTCATGGCACAGGAGCTGTGACCTTTCGTAGAGGGACATTGTCATCCCACTGTTGGCCGGTAGTGAGGAAAGCAGGGGAATACACTCCAATCTCACTTTCATCTTTTCTCCTACCTGTCATTGTCTCCCATTGGCCAAACTCAACTAGAAGTTGAAGGCAAGGGAGTTTATGGATGTAAGTCTACGTCAGTCAGTCCCCCAGGATAATAAGCAAGGTAGAAAAAGAATACTAAATTTTCCACTATATAGCTTCATGGAAAAAAAGTTACCTCATGCCTGCATGTCTCTCAAGGTGGATATGATTATAAATAGGCTTACTGTGAAGAAGTGAATTAACTTATTTTAATCAATTGATGTAATTGAAGAACAATATAAGTACAATTACAATTTTATGGCATACTTTGCTCTGTACATTGGTTTCAGATTTTGATAAATAAAGCATGTGGCATAGCAGAAAACTTAGTATCAGAAGATCTGAGCTTTGGTTCTGACTCTGCAAACTGACCTTCTCTGTGACATCTGATAAGGATTTTACTTCTCTGAGTTTAGTTTATATTGGGTTATCCAAAAAAGTTCATTCAGGTTTTTCCATAATATCTTACAGAAGAACCAATTCAATATATGAGTAAAATGGATAAGAATACTTGTTCTATTTGCCCATACCCCGAAGAGTAGTTGTATGGATCAGATGAAAATACACTAAAAAAAATGTATGAACCAGAATATCTCTTCTAACACAAGTATCTACTCTCCTAGCATTGCAAAATGGACTTTAAAGATAAATGCTGGGCATGTAGAGAAAGAAGCTGACTTTTCATTATTATTTTTTTTAATACTGACAGATCTATCTCCTTCCACTCAGACAGGACTCTGCCAGCTTCCCACCAGATCTAATTAGGTTTTAAATGAGATTCAGGAAGACATAATAGCTTATTCTGATTGTTCTTTTTATATCATACAGTCTCTAAATATTCATTGTACTCATATGATTAAGCTGTAAATCAGTGGGCTTTTTTGAATTTTTTATTTTGCTCCATATATTTGGCTCTTAACTTCATATCAGTTTTTAGTCTTTTCACATTGCCTTTACTCAATTTGCTTTGTTTGAAAAGCTCCTAATCATATTTCAACACCCTAAGTAAATATTCCCTCTTCAGGAAAGCTCTTCCTTACTCCCATCTAAGTAGATACGTACCTTTTCTGTTTGGTATATATAGTACTTGGAACATATCTCTGTTCTCAGACGTATCATTTTCACTGTATTAGAATTATTTGCTTTTGTTTATGTATTTCCCAGTAGACTGAGGGTCTTGAACATATAGGGGCCATGCCCTATCTGGGGTTCTATTATATTGCCACCAACCAGCCTGGCACTTCACATGGGCTCAGTTCATTGGAACTCAAGTTCTGGGGATAGGTCCAAATAAATTAATAAAGAAATGCAGAAGCCTAGTTTAAGCGAAGTATCAATTCTACTCCTCAAATTAGTTCATCAGACTCAGACTGCTAATACTTGGGACAAAATACTCACTCTTTTCTTTTAGGCTAGAGCTTTAGCAGAAGATAAAACACTAACTTCAATGAAAGTTCTCAAAAGGGTCTCGAGCTAAGAGTAATCATAAATGCATATATTGAGGGGAAACTTGCCTGAAAAGGGAACTTGGAAAATTTTACCAAAGTCTTCAAAGCTGCAGTCGTTTGAGATGTTGTGGATAAGGTTTTGTTAGCGTTTTTTCAGTTAGTACCTGTTTTCCACTTTTGCTAATTCGTTTTTGTTATCTATGAGTACTCTCTAGCAGACATATTGCAACAAGTGCCAGAGGTTAAAGAAAAAAACATTTATGGGAAGAAATCATTAGAATAGAAAATATTCTATCTATTGACTCACTCCCTGCCTCCACCACTATACCATACACAAAGACAGACAACTTAATGGTAAACACGTGTATAATCAACATTCTGTGACACCTAGTTTGTTCTGTTGCCCTTTTTCTTAGCCGGAATTTGTGAGATTTGAGGATAAAAGCAGTGGCTCAAGAGGACAATCGCTCTGCCTCTGCCTTTATGAGATAGATGGACTGATGGACAGTAGCAGACGATTCTGAAAGTTGTTTGTGATTATCTGATCTTAAAGGTTGGTGTAAAGAATGGGGAAGCATATTTGAGATTCTGTACATGAGTTGCCCTCTTTTGTAACAAATAAAGGAAAAACCGATGCTTAGATTTTATTAGCATGTTTTTTGAAATGTCCTTTCAAAATACCTGAGGGTTCAAAAGATAACCCAGTGAGGAACGTTTTGAGTTTTTAGAAAACTTTCTCCTTAAAGAAGACAACGTAGCGGAACCCTCACTCTCCTGTGTCTGTATTTTAGGAGGCAATACATCAATGAATCATAAGTTCTTCTCTCCACTTCTAGAGAGTTCCAGGCTTGGGGGAGAAAGACCAGTGGGAAGCTGGCTCTACTGCGATAGGCGGAAATTGTAAAAAGTATTATAAACATCAATGCCCTGAGCATCAACTCTACTACACACTGGTGCTCCCTGGAATAGACAAGAAAATGAGGAACAGGGGCTATCAGGGTACTAATGCAGCTGAGCCGTGGTTTAATAGGAGCCACTGATATTGTCCACCAGGAGCAAAATTCATCTGTGTGGTGGCATGTGCCCAAACCATAAGAGTGTTCCATACTGCAGCTAAAGGATAATGAATGAGAGATGGAAATATTGAATAGTTTGTCTCATTTCTTCTATCTTTCCATTTTCATCAGTCCTTTCAACATAAGCTTCTTTTTAAATGCCCAATTTTGAAGGGTGCTTAATTTCATTGAACTATGTGCTTGTGTTAGGGAGAAGTGAAATA